TTTTTTTTTTTTTTAAATGTATTTAGTACAGGATTTACAGGGTCTTACTACACAAATCAGACTCGTAGTGATCCTGTTTCCAGTCTCCCAAGCACTGGGATTATAGGCACATGCCACCATGCCCAGTCTCATTTGCCATCTCAGCACGTCCTAGGGACAGGACCAGCACAGCATGCAGGGGATTGAACCCTAGTCCCTGCGTCTGCCTAAGCAGGGAGCTATCTGACCAGCCCACAATTTCTCATATGTTTTTCTGGCCTCCTACCTACAAAGTAAGAAATTAGGTATCATGGTATCAGCAGCTCAAGAAGACAGTCTCAAACAGGAGGAGGGTGAGGCCCCAAAAATTCAAACACCCTTGATCTCTACTTTCATTTCCCATTTGAAAAATCCTACTTCTAAACAATTCTATACTTTCATTTTGCTACATTCACACACACTGATTCTAATTTGCCCAATTAGAATCTCTAACAGTTCTTGACTTATTAAAGAACAGCTAATGATAAATTTTCCTAATGGCCTAAATGACTTTTCAAAGAACAGCTAAACATCTAAGAGAAGTTCTAGCTAAATTATTATCTATTTTATAATTAGACGCCCAGAACATTTGACAAGTTGACCTCTTGAAATTTTCAAAATTGAGAACAATTCACACACACACACACACAAAATCACAACCTAGGCTGGGGCTATGCTCAGTGATAAAGTACTTGCCTAGCATGTCAGCTACCCTGGGTCTCAACCCAAAACACAGCAAATTTGATCCAGGAATGTGGAATCCATAATATGGAATCATACGTGATTTTATTAAGGATAATCCCCAGTCTGCTAAAAGGCATATGCTTATATTTAATCACAGGTACAATGGAAAACACCTTGCATCCTTTTGCTAAGATACTATATGAAAGCAGGTATTTAAACTGGACTGTGCAACAGTGCACTTGTGCATCTCCCAAGCAGAATCCATTAAATAAGGACACAGGCTTTGGAGTCAAAGAGACCAGGCTTGAAACACACCTATACCATATTTTAGCAGTATGATCCTGGACACATTATGTAATAGCTATAAACTAGAATTTCTTCATCTATAAAATGCATATCACAGGCTAGGGAGATAGTTCAGTAGAATAAGCACTTGTCTGGCAAGTGCAGGGTCCTAAGTTCAATCCCCGGTACCGCAAAAACAATAAAATAAAATAAAATGCATATCACAGAGTCCACCTCAAAGGGTAACAAAAACTAAATAAAAATTTATATAAAAAGCTAATAAATTACTGGAATATTATGCTTATTCAATAAATGGTAGCTATGATTATCTTCAATGTAGCTGCCTGAGATTATAGCTAAGATAAAACATTTGGAGCTTAAAGACAACTGACTTTGAAAACATTTTATGATAAAAGTCTTCTAAAATTGAAAAGTGTATTTTCTATTCTGTTCACTTTTTTCTTCTGTTATTTAAAATAGTTCCTTCCTCTTATTATGACACAGGTGATTTCAGTATCCTCAGTTCTGAATTATTTTTGAAGGTGTTTTTCCATCCATTTTTTCTGTTATCTAGACTTAGCCACATCTCAACTGGTCAACTTCCTTAAATTGATCTAACAATGAGGTCTCTGAGGCCAGGCATGGCAGTGCAGGCCTGTAACCTCAGCAGGAGGGCCGCTGAGGCAAAAGCACCAATCACCATGTACTCAAGGCCAGCCTAAACAGCCTAGTGAGACCCTATTTCAGAAAACAAAAGGTAAATGAGGTTTCTGTTTCACTGAAGATTTGTAAGCACACTGTTTTAAATTTAGACACTTCTCAAACTGAGTAATTTTACTTTTAAGAAAAGCATTATTTAGGGGCTCTTGTTAAAGATATGCTAGACTCTCAACTTCCAAAAGGCATTTACTGTCACCTGTAAAATCTTATGGACTTTAGGTTGATACCCTAAATTTTTGACTTACAAGTTTTGAAAGCACATATCAACTAAGTTTAGACAAACATATAAACAAATCTTTTCAACATCACTGAATTACTCTAACACACATTCGGCCAAGGACCATATTCTGGAGTAACATGAAGAATTTCAGGGGCTGGTGAGATGGCTCAGTGGTCTAAAGCACCTACTTAGAACAAGCTTAGCAAGCACAGGGACCGCGGTTCAATCCCCCAGCACCACATACCAGCCAGCCCCGCCCCCTGGTGGGCTGAGCTAGCCACACACACACACACACACACACACACACACACACACATAAAGAAAAATTAAAAAAAAAAAAGAATTTCACATTCAGACTACAGAGCAGCTGGGCACATGCCTGTAATGCCAGCACTCGAAAAGCTGAGGCAGGAGGTCTGTTGCAGGTTCAAGGTCAGCTTGAACTGCACCATGACATGCTATCTCAGAAAAACAAAACATAAACAACAATAACAACAAAAAACAATACGGAGTAACATTTATCTTCATGCTAATGTTCACATGTTAATAAACAGCTCTTCATCCCCATAAAACTTAAATACACATAAAAAGATACACTTTACACTTATTAATAATAATTGACCTCTGACTGTGAACAGGAACTTTATTTGAGCCAGGGTGTTACTCTGTCGCCCAGGTTGGCCTTGAACTCACTATGTAGCCCAGGCCTGTGCAACCACAACCAGATTTTCTAGCTTTTTTTTTCAAGAAAAAAATCTGGAAATCTTTTAACAAGCCTTTCAGAAATCATCTGTGGTAGGCCAGCAAGATAGCTTGGTGAACTGAGTGCCTCCTTAGTCAAGTGCTAGGAATGGGGTTCAATCCTGACACCATGTGCCAAGCCCATCCCCAGGTATGCTGAGCGGGCCACAGAGACGGGTTGTGGTGCCACACACCTGTAAAAATCCCAGTGTGAGGAGGCTGAAAACAGGAGGATCACTACGAGTCTGAGCTGCGTAGTGAGACCCCGTACCAAATACATAACCAAAAAAAAAAAAAAAAAAATTGTCTGATATTCAATGGTGAATTACCACATCACCCATTGTGTCCACTTTGTGCATCTCTGCTTTAGTGTCTATAAAAAAACATGTAACTCAGGTAGGTTTCACATCCTAGAACTCTACACTGGACACTGAAACAAAAGTGATCAGCACAAATGAATAATATTCTGGGTTTGCCCTCTGTGCTCCTTGCTGCCTGCCATGAAAGGTTGCTCTCTGCCCTGTGCCACTCTGCCTTAGAGCCAGCCAAGTATGGACTGAAACCTCCATTAACTATTGGACTCAAATTCCCAATGATCCTCTGGAGTACTGGAATTACAGGCATACATCACTACAGCTGTATCTCCAGATATATGCATGCAAAACTGGAAGAAGAAGAAAGAAAAAAGAAAGAAATTAAGAAGAACAGAGAGCAAATTCGTCAAAGCAATGGCCGCAACTCATCCACATGGCTGACACTGACAAAGTATCTACAAACTGTGGTACAGGGTTTCAGGGTAAATCCTGAGGGGATCTGACTGACCTTGGCAGATACAAAAGTTACATTTCTTATTATATAGGTCTTGCTTTATGTTGGTCCTAACCATCCAGCAGAAGAGTATAAAAACGAGGTATAAAAAATAAAGCCATGTTAATATGCTGAGCTGTAAAAGGCTCAAGTCAACAACTTTGACATTGCCAGTCCTATAGATAACCCACTACTATTATGGACTACTGGACTATATTGGATTATTTTGCTGAATTCACGCACCTATAATATTTAAATGGCAATGGAATACCCATCTCTGACAAAACTAAACAAAGGGGATACAAATGAAGGACCATTTTGTATCTGTATATACAAAATAGTTAGGATAGATATACAACTACTTTCTCTTAATTCAATGAGAAGAAAGATTTGTACTAATAGTGTTTGGACAGGACATCATATCTGCATCTTATACTATGAATAACCACTGCGAAGTCAACAATATGCAATGTATTAATTATTGAAACTATCCTACTAATTGGTTTTGAAACTTTCTCATTGCTATTTGTTTCTCAATAAAATTAATTTTAAAAAAAAGAATGATATTCTGGGTGCTAATGGTCACTTAAAACTCAGCCAGATCTTAAAGGTCTAAAACATTCCATTATATGTAACAGTTTATAGAAAACAGTACAAGAGTAAAGAACTGGATACTGTTTCTTCAAGGTTACTATAATAATGGTTAATAAGGCAAAAAAGTGACTTAACTGAATTTACCTTTCAGATTTGTACTGAGCCCTCTACATCTTCATTTTCCTCTTCAAAACCAAAGGTGGCAACACTAAGCCTCAGACTACATTTTAGAAGATTAAAGTAAAATAAATATAAAGTAAATAAAATGGCCAATCAAAGCACACCATCTCAAGCAATAATGGAAAAAAGCTCAGTATTCTGCTTAAAATTACAGAGTAATTACTGTACCTGAGAAGATCTACAAAATCCCAAAACAGAAAAGCACTTCCCCTCCGATTTATATTTCATTTGTTCCTCATCCACTTTAGAGAAAGGAACAATATCACTTCCATAGCGGAACCCTAGAGAACAAGAGAAGAGCATCTGTTAAGTACATGGGCTCATTTTCTCCAAGCTGAAATGCGCTCTACATACATTAACAATGCACACCTACTTCAGAACCCGCTCCCTCGTCTGTTCCCTGGAATCAAGCTACTGCCCCTTGTGATCAACAGAGACAAGGCAGCAGCAGATACCAAACCACATACAATATAGAGATTAAAATCTAATTACATTTTTTAAGTAGCATCTTCTACAATATAGTTACCTTAATGATTATCCAGCCTAAAATAAAGAACAGAGCAAATGCAATGTACTAGCTATCCTCCAAAGATAAACCACGGCTGACTAAAGTACAAGTGTGGTTTGTAAACATAATAACAAGAACACATTTATTCAGAAACCTAGAGACCTACAGAGAAAATCACCCATAGGAAATGTTTACAACAAAATGTTCTCAAAAACGTATGCGGGAGATGTACAAATGCTAAGGGAAGATGACAACATTCTTCTGTTTAGAAATATACAACTGATAAGCTGCATACTTTTCGTTATTTAAATTTATTTTGTCTTTAGAATTTTGTGTGTTTTTTTGTCCTCCTTTTGATGTTAATAATGGCTACTTAGTTATATTAAAAAAAAAAAAAAAAGACAAGGCCAGGGATATAGCTTAGTGGCATAGTACCTGCCTGGGAAGCACAAGGTCTTCAGTTCGATTCCCAGTACGAAAAATAAAAAAGACAAAGCCTCAAACTCATTCACTTCCACCACTCTGTGGAAGACTGTACTCCTTCAGTAGAGTCATAAGAAGGGGAGAAGGGTCATCAAAATTCAAGTATTGTGGCCTTGGATAAATACAAAGGAAAAACCATCTTCAATCCAAAAAACACTCAAAAACACAGGGCTGACAAGATAGCTCAGCAGACTAAAGCACCTGCTTACGCAAGCTCAGGGACCATGGTTGGATCCTCCACACTACATGCTGTGTAGGGCAGGCTGAGCTGGCCACAGTCCAGGTATAGTGGCACACTCCTGTAATCCCAGCACTGGGGAGACTGAAAGCAGGAGAATCACTGAGTCCAAACTGTGTAGTGAGACCCTGTACCAAATACATTAAAAAAAAAAAAAAAAAAAAAAAACTTCTGAGTTCCCAGGGGCAGATTTTCTGATCCCCTTTTTTTTTTTTTTTTTTTTTTGTGGTATTGGGCATTGAACTCAGGACCTTGCACTTGCCAGGCAAGTGCTTATTCTACTGAGCTATCTCCCCAGCCCTCCAACGTTTATTTATTCCTGTTAGTCTGGTGATACCATGTATTTTCATAAAAAGACACATATCTGGGGCTAGGGAGATGGCTCAGTAAAATAAGCGTTTCCCTGGCAAGCGCAAGGGCCTGAGTTCAATCCCTGGTTCCACCAAAAAAAAAAAAAAAGACACATATCTATCTTCCTATCTTTTAAAAAAGCTGGCAATAAATAAATAAACAACATTAACAGAGAAAGATATAGTACATGATTAATATTCCTAAATTTCTCTTAACAATTACATTCCTACTTAAACTGTTTAACAGTAACTTGAAAGTTCTAATTAAAATTGTGTTTTCTGGTTCTAATTAAAGGACAAATGTGTCTAATTTTTCTATATGGCAGAAAATGTAGAACAGATATTACAAGAGGTGATTGACAAATACAGTGAATGTTTAAATTTTTAAAAATTGTTATGGGGGGCCGGGGAGATGGCTCAGTGGAATAAGCGCTTCCTGTGCAAGCGCAGGGGCCTGAGTTCAATCCTCCGTTCCGCCAAAAAAAAAAAAATTGTTATGGGGGACCGGGAAGATGGCTCAGTAGAATAAACACTTGCCTGGCAAGAGCAGGGGCCTCAGTTCAATCCCCAGTTCCACCAAAAACTAAAACAAAAACAAAAACAAAAACAAAAAACTAAAAACCAAAAATTGTTATACAGAAAGACACATTGCCAGGCATGATAGAATAAGTGTTTGAAGTAGGGGAGAAATGTTTTTAGTATTCTAAGGAAGATTAATGACAATGTGTCTTTTACTATAATAATTTTTTTTCAATTTAAACATCGACTCTACGTTTCAGTTATATCCAGTTATCAACACTTATGGCAATTTCTGTCCAATAAAAACATTACAGTGTGTCCTCTTACAACCTTATTCACCTTATTTGGCACCATATGACTCCTGGCTCTTCCTCAAAGTCAAAATGACCATGAAACATAAACATTTTGTATAGATTCAGGATATGAAAGCAGCCATGACAGCACAACTAAAGTCATAAAAGAGGGCTTCCAGAACTGCTCCAGAGGGTCTCAAGAATGGTTGGACAGCCAGGTATGGTGGTGCCCATCTGTAATCTCCACATTTGGGAGGCCACAGCAGATGGATCACAAAGAGTTCGAAGCCAGCCTGGTCTACATAGTGAGGTTAAGGCCAGCCTGGACTACAGATAAACCCCTATCTCAAAAAACAAAAACAAACAAAGAAAAAATAAAAAATTTTTAAAAAGAATGATGAGATAAGTATAGTTGAAGCAAGACTGAATATTTTGAGGGATACTAATAGTAATGTGTCTTTTATTGTAATAAACTTTTAAAACAAGAAAACGTTCTCTGTATTTTTCAATCATACCTCATATAACCATATTCCTTTGACTACACATGCATACTAGTCCCTCTGGACAAAGAACTCTAAATACTAGGTGATGGAGAATGGATAGACAAAAGAAGTTGATGCATAGCTGCAAAAAATATAAAGGAAAGTTTATATATTTCTGTGCATTTCGAACCCAAACAATTTTAATGTTTCCCCTTCTATCATCACCCCACGGTAAATTTTCCTTTCCCTAAGATAACCAGAACTTTCTGCTAACAGCCAAATGAACTGGCACCCTCATCACTGGCTGCTGCTCCTCCAAATCCATCCTGCACCTAGCTGTCATAGTCATCTTCCTAAAATTAAGCTCCAATGACATCCCGCTCCAGAAAATTGTAAATTGGGGCTGGAGAGATGGCTCAGTGGTCTAAGGCACCTACTTGGAACAAGCTTGGCAAAGCATCAGGGACCGCGGTTCAATCCCCCAGCACCACATGCCAGCCAGCCCCGCCCCCTGGTGGGCTGAGCTGGCCACACACACACACACCACACACTCTCTCTCTCTCTCTCTCTCTCTCTCTCTCAAATAAATAAAAAAAAAAAAAAAAAAAATTTAATAAAAAAAGAAAATTGTAAATGACTCTATGTTGCTTTCAAGATTTGTGCATAAATCCTTAGCCTATCCTTCAAAGCCATTCACTGGCCAGTCCTGATTGAGAATAATATGAAGGAGCACAGCTCTAAATTCAAGTTGTGCTAGCTGCTAGCTGTGTGACTTTGAATACATTAATAAATGTCTTTCAGCTTTGGCTCACTTATCTATAAGATGGAAATAATAGTATGAGTACCTGCTTCAATGGGCTGTTGTGACAATCACAAAGGCAAATGCACACTATTAGATACCCACCTAGCCCTACTTTTCTGATCTTGTCCTTTAATCATGCTGTTCTTCCTACTCTAAGTAGTTATGACATCAGGAATTATTATTTTTTTTTTTTTGGACATCAGGAATTATTAACCAGAGTCATAATTCTAACCCAAGTCTGAGTCCAAAATTCATGTCCTACACAGCTGAACTGAACTAAAATGTTAGTAGAAATTGGAAGATATTAATGACATTCTATGTACAATCCATCAGACTGATGGGATTGATAACCACCACCACCTTTAAATATTCTGCAACACATTTAACTATACACAATGAGTTATAGTACTATAGGTGAAACTATTTTCAAGACTTGTAAATCAAAAATCTACTGGGTAATACACAGCCTGACAAAAAATGCACCTAAGGATCCTCAGAGATGCTATGCTACCCATTATTTCATATAACTTTATTTATTTTTTTTTATAGCTGCTTTAATTTATTTGTTAATAAAAACTCCACAAATTTTAAAGTAAATTAAATCAAAACTGAACTCCTAAATTTAACAAAA